AGGCTGGATGGGGCTTTGAGCAACATGGTCTAGTGGAAGGTGTCCCTGTCCATAGAAGAGTGGTTGTAACTATATGATAACTTAGGGATCCCTTCCAACCCAAACCACTCTCTGTGATTATTTTTGGCAGCAGCTGCCCCTGTATATAGGCTGGAATCATTCTGCTTGGACTTGGGTTCTGTCAACCCCGGAATAATTTGGCCCAAATCAAGTTACCAGATGCTTGAAGGTGGCTATGGGAGTGTTAGATAAAAGCTTTTCTGTAAGAGTAAAATTTTCAAAGCTTGCTGTGTGGGTATGCAAAAGATTTTTTTAAGAGTCTTGAATGTTTGTTGTGGTTTAACCCCAGCTGTCAACTCACTTCAACCAGTGGGATGGGGAGAGAACTGGGAGAGTAAAAGTGAGAAAACTTGTGGGCTGAGGTAAAGACAGTTTAATAGGGAAAGCAAAAGCTGCACACAAGCAAATCAAAACAAGGAATTCATTCACCACTTCCCATGGGCAGTCATCTCCAGGAAAGCCAGGATCCATCATGTGTAATGGTGAATTGGGAAGACAAAACACCGTCGCTTTTAATGTTCCCCTCTTCCTTCTTCTTTCCTAGTTTTACATGCCAAACATGACACCATACTGTGTAGGATATCCCTGTGGTCAGCTGGGGTCAGCTGTCCCAACTGTGTCCCCTCCCAGCTTCTTGTGCCCCCCCAGCCCACACACTGGTGTGGGGGGGTGAGAGGCAGAAAAGGCCTTGACATTGTGTAAGCACTGAAACATCTCTCTGTGTTATCAACACCGTTTCCATCATAAATTCAAAACACAGCCTCATACCAGCTACTATGAAGAGAATGAACTCTACCCCAGCCAAAACCACAGTGTCACATTGCTAAATGCAAATCCATGACAAAGTGAAATCTGTAAAGCAGACCCGAGTCAGAATCTGAGGTCATGTATAGCATGTAATGTAATGCTGTGAAATTAGCTGGGGCTGCTGTATGTGGTCTTTAACACGTGCATTACACAGCTGTAAAAGCAACACACTGGAAAAATAAGCAGCAAGGTGGTTTTATGCAAAAGTGGTTTCCATCTGCTTCTGAGGAGATGGTAAATGTTGTAGGGCGAAGGAAAAAAAGGTCAAAAGCAAGGAATTGTTTTCAGGATTTGTTTTCAGTTACTAATGTGCCTTGTGAAGTCACTTGCAGGGCCTCGGGACTTCAGTGGAGTGAGTGACTTTTCCCAGTGCTCCCTGGTTTGTATTCCTGCTGTTGCATCCAGGTGGTGCTGGGCCCTGCTGACAGAGAGCTGGGAAAGGCTGCCAGCCCCAAGCCCACAGGGTGCGTGGGGCAGGCAGGTATCCTCAGCCTCTGCCTGGTTTCCACCTTTCTGTCAGCGGAGGGCGCAGCTGCGACTGAGAGGATACCCTGCTCCTGGCACACCTGACAGCTGTCCCTCCAAGCCTTAAGCCTCCTGCATTACCTTTTGCCTCACTCTGAATCACACGTCCTTTTTAAACAGCATTGCAATGGCTTCTCTTACAAGGCACCTTTTGGTCCCGGAAATTAATTAAGCTTGGCTTGTTTATTTAAGAAGCACCCCTATAGTTTGCTCGGTGTGTTCCAGTCGGTGGAATGCAGGTGGAGGTGTGGCAGTGCCAGGGAGCAGGCTGTGGGAGAGAACAGGGCTGTGGGAGAGAACAGGTTGCCTGGCCATTCCAGAGCCAGACTCATTAGATAGCAATTGCTGATAATAGGCTTTGCCATCTGGGATTTCCTGGGGAAACAGCCCATCTTAATAAGGACCCACAGAGTTTTCTCTTTTAGAGAGATGTTCCCCTTATTGCAGCTGTGTTGAAAGCTGCTGAAAACCTATGGGTTTGTTTTAATGTATGTGTTTGTTTTACAGAGCTGTGCACAGAAATTATATCTGTTAACCCACACAGGGTATTAGTTACCTTGTGTAGCCTTTGCTGGATTTAAAGCCATCACTTATCAGAGCTGGCAAACATTAGAAAGAACTGTGCACACTTTAACTCCAGAATAAACAGTATACAAAGGAGAATTTTTTTTTTTTAATTTATTGTTTATGTTTGTAAGTAATTCTCCCTGACTTGGCAATTAACTTTGAGCAATAATCCAATGGAAAGCTCCTAAAAAGCTCTGCAGGGGATAATGATTACTTAATCCCGCCTAAGGAGATTTTAGTGGAAATAATATAAATTCATATTATAATTAAAATTATTCCTTAAGGAGAAGACAAAGCTCAGGGAAGTCCACAGTAAAGATTATTTGATTTCAGGGAACATCCGATTATGTCTTTAAAACTCCTCTTCCAGCTGTTTTCTAGCCTGTGATGTTTCATCTCTTTTCTTTCAGTCTCCTGTATCAGGTTGCCCTCATAAGAGTGAGAAATAATATATCTGTTCGCCCCTTGGTTCCTTTCCAAGTGAGAGGACTTCCAGATTGACTCTGGCATCCTACACGGCTTGAAACACCCTCATGTGGTGTAAACGAAGCATTGAATAGCTCGCTATTGTCAAACATACGACTCACAGATGCCAGGGCTTGGCTTACAGAAACCAGCAAACAAAGGCGAGAGAGAAGCAGGTAATATATTGATATAAACTGACACCGAGGCTATGAGTGGTGGACAGAAAAAGGGGGGGAAGTCAATGTTACAAAGGCTATATTATATGACAGACATCTAAGTGTTTGCAATGGACTTAAGAAATGCAAAAAGTGCTGCAATAGTGGTTTTCTGGCTTGATGTAAAGTGGAAAATGAACACCACTATTTGGTCTATTGCACTTGAAGAAGCAGTGTTTTAAACGCAGTGATGTCTGCAAAGCTTTGTGATTGAGTGTGTCTGATGGTTTTAAATGTTAAATAATTCCATTACAATCAGGGTAAAAATGGTAATGAACAGCTTGGAAGAATCTGAGTATACTTACATGAAATGTTGAGCAATTAGCTTCTCTCTGTGAGAGTGAATCCTGCAGTTTTCTTCTTATCAGTAGCAAAGTGACCTTTAAAATATGCAGATGACACAGAAGCCATTTCAATAACTTATTTGATCTATTTCCTGCTGATAAATTGCATTTAAGGATTTGGAATTTACATGGCACAGTAGATTTTGGGCTGAAATGGAAGATTTTGAAAACAGTGACAGAAAGCTTTTTAACAATGGCAAAGCATCCTGTTTAAGAATGAGACGTGTTACCAGGGTACTCAATATGATAAGGAGAAGGAGGCAAAGCTCCCTGTAGCACTTGATAATATCAACCTCTTTTCAGTTGCTTTAAAGGTTTTAAAAAGTTCATTGTTCTGGATTTATGTTCTGTATATGACAACTCAAGAACCACGTGTTAAAATTGAAATAAACCACATTTGTGTGTTTGGAATTGCCTAACAGTGAAAACCATATGCCTCTTGGTGCTTAAATAGCATCAACCTGATCTGCAGAGCTAATCT